CTGAAGAAATTGAATAACTAGAATAATTGCTAAAAACAGCATTGCTACCATGTACCTTATATTATACGAGTTCCAGATTCGGAATATTTGAAAACAACAAGTTCAATAAATTTATATTTTTGAGAATCATTAAATGGGTACCTATTACATCAAAATGTATACCTCCAAGATAATTACTGCCAGATATAACTTCTAAAGTGCTGATAAAAGTCATGTAATAACGGAATAAATAATTGAGTTGAAAAATAATAAAAACTTGTGAAAGCAATTACTAAATAACAGACTTATTAAAATAAAAAGTTCGTGAAACAATATATTAAGTTAATTATTCAGAAACTTCTTGGCAGACCACTATAAAGACAACTTATATCGTTTCTAAGAGAGCAAAGTTATTGTTTATATCCATGTTTTTTTTTAAACTTCTTTAAATTATAATAAATAAATGATTACATTAGAGACCAATAGAAGTTACACGAAACTTGTTCCACTGTAAAGGCAATCAAGAGTTAGATAGTTAGAACTTGTAGTAGCTGGCAACTATAGTATTTTTTTATGAAGACATTAAGTTTCATGTAGTTCCACAGTTATACGGGGGAGTAAAGCACCCCTAGGTAGCAGATTAAAGAAAGAAAGAACTATAAATTTTTACAAATCATGGCACAAATGCAAACCCAGTACAGTAAATGAATTAATATTAACCGTCCAACCATGATAGAAGTTTCTTGAATATATTAATTACATTTTAGAGGAGCTAGATGGCGCACTGGTTTGTGCGTTCGGTTTACGATACGTTAGTTAAGTGACATTCGCAATGGCCGGTCACAGGATTGGTGACCGAAAATTTATTACCTTGAGCTCTTCCGAGCTTCGGGAGGCACGTTAAGGCCTTGGTCCCGGCTACAGCTTGGTGGGTCACTGCTCATTCTCCCTACACGATTTGTTTCAATTCCATCCACAGGGAAGGTCTGAGCCCCAAAAGTAGGGACATTAATAGGCAAATTGTATTTTAGATACTACTCGTACGACAAAATCAGGACACACATAGACCTAATTCTATTTCTCCGAACGAAATACCGTCTATTTTCAAAATGCCAATCTGAATTCAAAAACACGCACTCGTAGATAATTTATTATGCACCGGAGTTAGGACATGACATTGCCTCTTCACTTCACTATAGCAAAATTTTAAGAACGATTCGAATGTTTCCGCATTTAAGAACAATTAAAATATGCCCTTGGGTGTCATGTTAATTCGTACGGATTATATGTATTATTTTACCGATTTGATACACAACTTACTTACACTTCTTTGACAGAAGATATTTGTATTCAATTTTAAAATTGATAATTTATTTTAAGTACTTATAAGCAACATGGAATTAATGGATTTATGATTACGCGGCTGGTTTAGTGATATTGCTTCTTTGATTTGAATAAAATTTACATAATCTTAACTGATATCAAATCATTTCCATATTACACTTGGCTAGTGATCTTGCGGTGTGAGCCGTTGTATGTGATGTTGTTTTGTGTTATGAACACTGTCCCGTCTCCCGGCAATGAGATAGATAGAGACAGGAATAACTAGTTGCACGGAAAAAACGGTTAGCACGTTTTCAGTTAATTCCTTTGAAACTATGACGCTTATTATAAGAGTTCTATTTTATTTATTTTCTATCTATCTATTTTCCCTAAAAAAGTAGAAATATTCTTTTTTTATAAATAAAATTCTGGCTATAACGGTATCCTTAAATGTGTGAAATTTTTAATCATTTTCAATCACAGTTTATGGACGTTATTTTTTTGTACATACAACTAGTTGACAGTTGCTGATTTTGGGTATACGCATTATTTTATTTAAGAAATACATAGATACTACATATACAATAGAACAATCTAACAATCCACTTTTAGACAACTAAAGGTAGTGATGTAACTCGAATAGGATTTTGTGATTCGAATCACTCGAGCCAATTAACTACCTCACTCAAGTCATACTAGTTTTCGTGTGCCTTGAGGAAAAAAATTTCAAACTTGCTGCTCAAATGAAATTTCTGTTAATAATTTTAAACAAATACACACACAATTGGAATAAAATACACATTAAAAAAATTGACATATTATTTATTGAACTAATCAAGAAAATAAAAAATAAGCGTTAAGTCAAATAAATTAGAGTAGCGAAATGAGATCTAATGACAATAGAATGAACTCGATGCGTCGAGATTACTCGATGACGAGTGCATAGAGAGTCAAGTAATAATTTTTCACTCGAGTACGAGTTTGAACGTTCACTCGAGTGACTCGAGTAAAAACAGGGCTCGAATCGCAAAACGATCGTAAAATAAAATTTACTTGTTATTTGAAATCGGATACGAGAAATTAAATATATTTTTTAATGCGCTACAAGACTTTCAAGTTAATTATTGTTAAAGAAAAATAAATATTTTAAGTACATTAAATATTTAATATCTATTTATTTACATTTTTATTTTTTTCATGTCCGGATCTAAAGTTTAAACAAATATAGAAAATGTATTAGCCTGGAATTTCTGGCTCCAATTACAACGCGGGCCTTTATTTCCTCTGATACCTTATTTACAGACCTTAGTTTAAGTGAAAATATTCATATTTATGCATAATATACAACCATAGACAAGGAACACGATTAGTCGATTATTTCCAAGGTATCAATTAAAATAAGTACTGTCCCAACTGACATCTATCACAGAGATCAAAATGAAAATTGACAGTACAATGGTTGAAATAAATTTCCTGGTATTTAGGTATCTATTCTAAAAGTGGTGTAAAGTTAATTGTTAAATTAGCAAACATCGATTTCAGAATTCTAAAAATCCTGTCAAGTGCCGTACACATAAGCGATATGATTTTTTTAATTAAAAATGCTTTAGCTAAAAACGGACTAAAAGGGATAAATACAACGAAGGTTAGGTGTACATTATTTACAATAACAATGGAAGTTTCGTTAATTAATACTCGTATTATAAATTTAATAGTCTTTATTTGGTCCTTTTTTAAAATTAATGAAATTGAACTAGTTTATATCTTCAAAACTCCGGAACAAATTTTAAAAAGTTCCACTTAAAACGTTATTCCTTAAAACGAAAACTCAGTTAACAGGCGAAAAATGATCATTGCGATCCAATGTCTAATTTGTAAGAAATATGTGGACAAACATACAGAATTTTCTTAATTAAAAATCTTTAAAAACATAAAGAAGTACCTGCATGCTTAAATAACAGGTACATAAATACACTAACATAATTTAGCTCACGCATAGGAGCGCAATGGTGCATTGGTTTGCACGTTCATTTTGTGATACGGAAGTTGGCGAACTTTCCCAACAGTCGATTATAAGATGGGTGACCATAACTTTATTCTTCCTTTGTGCTCTCACGTTGATCCGTAGGCCCTAGTTACATCTGCGATCAATTCATATCCAAAAGGCATAGGTAAAGGCACATTCTACCTATATTATTAGAATCGGAATCGACTGTATATATGTGAGACTTTGCAGTTAATAGACTCGTGATGATATTGGGGACGACACTTTTCAATCTTCTCGCACTTCTTTTTGATTTAAAACTTCAGCTAAACAATATATACTAGTTTGCATATAAAAACAAGCTACGTGAGCCCTCGGGCTTGTATTGCTCCTGTAACAAGTATATGACCCGCAAGTAATATGGAAATGTATTATTCCGTTATTAGACAGAGAGCTCGTACAAAAATATGCAAGTTTTCCAAAAGTGTAAAGTTTCAGTATTGAATTATCAAATAATAATATGAGTCTTCAGGTACATAGTATAATAGCAAAATGCCAGTAGTTGAAATTCTATTGAGATGCGATTATTACGTAAACATAAGAAGATAATGAGCAAAATTGGTCTACTAATTAAACTGCGCTATAGCGACATACGGATACACACAATAGCTACTCAAACCTTAAAGATTTAAGACAAGTTCATATTTACCCGGTTCCAATCAAATCGACCTCAAGATAAATGAATTTATTACTTGTTGCATAAAATTACAAACATTTAGTCTAGTTACTAAACCTTAAGCTTAGAAACGGCTAAAGACGTGTGAAGATAACCCTTTCACGAGCCGTAAATGAAATGAAAAACCCAAATACATTGGGTCACGAAGAAGCTTAACAGCTTAACCCTTAGTTATACGAGACACAATATACAATTTAAATGGCTATTCTCTCAGTAAAAACAGTTTTATATTAAAGTGGAACAATTACATTATTTAACACATTATTACCTCTTTAAATTCATTATCTAACCTAGCGTATCGTTGTTGTGTCTCATGGATATAAATAATTAAAATCCTATCTTTTAAGACTAAATAAATAAGATGTGTTTGGTTAAAATCGGCTCAAAAATTCAAAACCATCTTTTGAATTTGAACGACGATTGCCCATGCTTTTAACTACCCAACTTCAAAAATTTTCCGATTTTTTAACTGTTTTTCTTACTATCAAGAATTATTCTTCAAATTTCCAAAGTAGGATCTTTGTTTTCGAAAACAACTTGGTATTTTAAATTTAATCATCGTCATCAGTAGCATATTGATATCCCCAATAATGGGGTGCAGCCCTTGTAAGGAATCAAATAGGAAGGCCATAAATTTTTGCCACCCATCCCATGACCGGACTTTGCTTTTTGAAGTTGTTTCTGTATCGCAAACTAAACGCACCAACCACCACGCTGATTTAATTTAGTGACAAAAGAGATTTACGCCAATTAATTGGATCTATGAAAAAACGAAATAAGATTAATTATAATCAGTTCACTGTTTGATCATACAAAAAACAATATAATCAATAACCACTTTATTGAAGTCGGTTAGAAAAGTTTCTAATGAAAGCTTAAGCGTAATTTGAAAAATATTATCACGATAGGTTACACCCCGCCCGCCTAACGCCTTTTGGGCGGTTCTTATATAAGGGGCAGTGTTGAGCGCGGCAAGACAGTATGAACCGAGGCCGCTCGCGTGGCATGTCCTGTGTCGTAACTACGAGCATCTAGTACTAACGTCCAGGTAAGTACGTCATTCCAAATTCAAAATTTCAAACCTCGAACTGTTTATCGAATTGAAAAAAGTTTTTAACACTTTCATGCAATATAATAATTTTTATTCGTAAACGAAATGAAACTTTTTGAGAGTTAAAAACTTTTACGGAGTTTTTCCCCTTACACGTTGAACTTATGAAAAGTTTTTTTTTTATTCATATTCGAAATATGAAATGTACAATTGCTCTGGTTGAATCGAAGGCGTTTGAGCGAAGTTTTAATATACCCTTTAAACTGTTTGAATCATGACTTTTACATCGAAACTTTTGCAAACTTCTGGGATTTTTTCAGATATATTATGATATGTTTTCATTTCATGTACAGAAAATATGGTTACGACTTTTTTACGCTTATTTAAATGTTTTTTTTTTATGTCAAGAATAAAAATGTTTTCCCCATGATGTTTTTTCTAAATAAATACGATTCCCAATTTTTTTTCATATCATTAAATTTTTAAATGATAAAAGATGACTTTAAAAATGAAATATTGATTACGGAATATCGAAATTCCTCCTAAATTATTCCTATCAGGGATAAAATTGTGAATTTGCGATAAGTACAGGAAATTTGCGATTGGTTTACGGATTAGCCTGGCTTATTTCAAAGTTCATTAAAATTTGTAGAAATAATAAATCATAAAATAATTCCAATATTCCATTTCACGGATAAAATTCGAATTTTATCATTAGTCTTCAATTTGTTTAGTTATACTATAATATGTAGCGATTATAACTAGAATATCTGATTTCGTCATACGTTTATACATTTTTATGATCCTTTATATTAACAACCTACACAAAATTAATATACTAATATCTATTTCACTATCATTATTTATAAGCTGACCACAAACAACTTTTTTATCTTGTAATAATATCATATTTTTATGATACGTACTTACCAGTATCTTATACATATTTGATTAGAAATTCTCAACAATGTCAATATTAGTTGATTGTTAAAACAATTGGTATATTCTATTATAAATATATTACTAGGTTAGCTAACAACGTAGTAGCCGACTGAATAGACCTTCATAAATTTTGTAAGTCGATGAAGAAAAAAAATTAGATTCTTTATCGAAACCGGTGATACCGGTATTAAAAACCGAAATGGCAATTTTAAAACCAGTAAAACTAGTATCCATGGCGGTTTTGCAAAATACCCATATAAGGCCTATATCAAGACCTTAGGCAATATTTTTGTGAACTAAGTTTGAGGGTCGCCCCATTTTTTTAAAGGCATGCAAGCGTGTAAGACTTAAACCACATTTTTAACCTATAGTACCTAAGTAATTATAATAAAAGACTCATTTTTCAAGTTTTTTTTTTTAAATAATGTAGAAAAAGGAATATTACAAACGAAATAGACACAAGAATAATCCAACATAATGACGAGGAAAATGCTCTTATTTAGAAGACTCGTGTAAGTTATAAACGAGCTTGTTCGGCACAAAGGGTGCAATTAATATATTTCGATGAAAAATATTCTAATATTTAAATAACAAAATATATTATTAATTATATTTTCAAAATTATCAATTAACATAAATCATAAACGAATGTTTTAAAATATTGAAATAAGAAAGTATGGATGCAGAGGACGAAAAAAGGAAACAAATACGTACATAAACATACGAAAACTCATACATATAACAGGTCCGTTATTTAATGGGAGGAAACCAGCTATATTAAACTCTTTTTATTTAAAAACTAAGACGTCAGCGTCGGTGATACCGTACCGTTCGACTTCTTATATTTATTTCAATTTCTATTCGTATTAATAACTTACCTAATTTTTTCAGAATTATAATCGATAACAATTTTTTTCAATTAAATTCTTAACAAAAAAATAACAACACACACCACTCGAATGACGTTTTCCGTTCTGCCATTGTCTATTTGCTTTGGGCGGCTAACTGTATCCTCGTTTTACAGACGAATTCCATTTTGTTTCAAAGTCAGTTAAAAATGTAATTAGTATCCGAATAGTAGTGTCGTTCTGTATCCGAATAGGTAAAATAGGAGGAAATGGACTTCTTAGTTTTCAATTTTTTTTAAATTATATATCTACACTATCCTTTTACACAGATGTGGTACAAAAAAGCAGCCAAGTCTAATAATATGCCTTCAGAACCACAAAGGATCTCGAAACAATAATTCTTCACCCATCTGCGAATGCACTTACCATTGCATTACCGAGATTCTCCGATGGCTGGGAGCTGTCGATTTTAATACCTTTTTATCTGTACTAAATAATAAAATAAAAATGGAGTATTAAAAACAATGCCCTTATATACTCATTTTTATTTTATTCTTCACTCGTTGGATTAAACGCAATCATCCCAGAATAATCTTCAACCACAAATATATAACACGATATATAAAGATAATTTTAGAAAACATTTAGAATAAGCTGCGTTTGTTGACTTTTGTGACGGGATTATAAGAACAAGTCTCGCATTATAGTCACATAAAAAAACATTCCTAAGAGACCATCCAAAACATTTTAAAGTATTTTTTGAGGCGCTTTCAAAAATTTTGGGGAAAATGTATAAAAAAAAAATATCATAAGGGGATTAAAAATAGCCAAAATCTTTTCATATACATCTTCTACTGAAAAACAAATAAATCGACTTGAAAAATTATTTATAACTAAACAATTTTAGTTCTTACTAACTGTTTTCCAACGACTATGCTGGCGTAAATTACAACTTTAGTCAACCCGCATATAATGTAGCTTCCTGTAGGTTAAAAAATCTTTTAAATAGCTCCAGTAGTTTACATATTCGATGCAAGGAAAACAATCAAATCTTAAAGGTATAAGTTTTACCCTATTTTAAATTTTATACAAAAAATCTGATTTTATTGAATAAACTTAAATATTATTATGTTGTCACATAGTCTAGCAAATATAAATCCCTATCCTCTACAATGGCATTACTATAATATAATAAGTTAATGTAATCTTACTTTTTTCACCATTATTTTTTATGCTCTATAAGTTCCATCATTGTTACTATTCAAATATATCGGCGACCAATATACGACCCATATATATTTAAAGTTCCAAGTTTTCTATAAGAAATTGACTTACAAATAGAAAAAGTTTACTGGGAAATTCATACACGTATCCTCGCTCAAGTTTAATCGAATCTGTCCTTCTTACCCAGGAATTTATGAAGTGACAGTGTATATTAAGATTATGCATATCATTACTATGATTTATCATTAAAACTAATAACTTTTTATTGTCATTAAAACATCAGATTATTCTTTATTAAAATAGACGTAGTGGATAAGTGCCGCGAACTTTGTTATTAAGCATCTTTCGCAAAGGTCCGTCACGGGATGGGTGACTAATAAAATACTATAGAGTGCAACTCCGTGATTCGGAAGACGCGTTCAGCGGTTGGTCCCGGCTGCATTGGCAGACGTTAATTCCCTCCAATTCGCATTGAGCCAGCGTGGTGGGCCCATCCTCCTTAATCATCTATATAGTAGGCCTGAGTCCCTGTCTTTTTAAAGAATCGTTCATCATTCATCATTGTTTATGTGACACTAATCGGAATTATCTAAGCTAGTTACTATCGGGAAATGTTAAACGAAATTAATGAATGTCTTTAAAATGTATTGTCAATGATATTTATATCATTAAACATCACACGTTCCTAAACATATTGTTCCTAAAAACCAAAGACTGGCTTCTATGTGCACAAGACAAGCTGGGCGGTACTAAATTATTCAATGGCTTACATTTTGTCAACACAACACAATCATTTTTTCGATTGCTAGCGAGTTAGCAGAGCGTTTGATGCGTCGCGAAAGTTGTAACTGACAAACATTTTATTTAATAATGTGATTGATATGACGTTGTATTACTTAGGTGTGATATTTTATTACCTGATTTCAAGATATTTAAAAGAGTTACTTTGTATTTTCTTTTATTGAACGAAATGTACTCAACGGTGAATGAATTAGAGCTACCGCGAAAGCGCCTAAGAATTTCGAGTTGATATCGACAGCTTTAATAAGGATGATGTCTGTGTAAAAGAAAAGAAATTCTATTTAGTCCATCAATCAGAGAACAGATACATTAGATAAAGCCATAATTTATTGATTACTCCAAAAAAAAACACGTGTTTAATTTAGATTAAATTATAATTATGTAAACATTATATAATGTAGTGTTTAAAATAGTTCAATAATCTACTTAACGGACAGACAAAAATAAATTTGCCATCATGCCTATTATTGTATTGAACGTTGAACGTATTTGGTTCACGCATAAAACTGAAGCCAATCGAGGTATGCGATCACCCGCTGGTCAATGCAAGAAACGACATTTTCTATAATGTCTCGAGTCTGGGTCCTGTGATGCTTATGTCGGTTCAGATTTCCATAATGCAAGAGTTGACTAATTTATTTAATACACAAATAATTCATTGCTTATTTCCTTAATTCTGAATTAAGGAAACGCGCAAATATAAAACCTTTTCTATTAAACGCTTAAAGTGAAAATGCCTTACGCCCATGACCATTAAAAATAGGTCGGGTTAGCTAACAGCTTCAGGCTTAGCTGTCATTTAGTACAGACAGGAAAGAAAATAAACTAGTTCTAGGTTAGTAAAAGCAGGAGTTAGTGTTTCATTTAAACATCGTGTTTGAAATATAGAAGTCATCATGAATGTCATGATTACTATAACAAACCAAAATTAGAATACATTATTTACTAACATGATTTTGCACTTCGAAATATCAATCAGGCATGTGAAACCATTTTAGTATATAAATACGAATGTGGAGTATTGGTACATGGTTTATCTATCCCAAGTAATTAGTAATTTGGATCTATAAAACAAAAACGTGTCATAGTAAGATAGAAATAAATAGAATTAAGCTATTCTGTTAAAAAACAGTAATACGTCGACGACGCCTTATCAATTTAATAAAATCTTCATTATTTTTA